CCTCTAAACATTCTTCTTGTTATAGTAGCAATAGAATAATATATTTGTCTGATCTGATGGTACAATGTTTCCCCAGATAGGATATTGCTCTTCCTAAGAATTCCCAAATATGTACACCTCTTTTTTACAATCCCTACTGTAACTTTCACAGGACTCGTCTAAAAATGATCAGGATATCCAGTTAGTTAACGTAGGTTATTTCTTTGCCTTTCATAAGTTAGTAGGGGTTTAAATGATAATCGTTTTGTATCAATGCATCGATCCAACAGCCGATGATCCGATGCATCGACACGTCCGCAAGAGTATTGATTCATTTTTTTTTTCCTCCGGCCTATTTTTAGCCATTTGCTCCAGGACGTAAGTCTGATTCCTGTGCTGCGGTGGCACTAAACCAATTTTGCCCTCCTACCTTGCTTCCTTTAGCCACTACCCTTTCAACTTGCACACACAGACTCGCATAAACACAGAGGCATTATTATTTTTCAGTGAATGAGGTTTTCATAGCTTTGCTACTTCTGTTATTTGCTGTTGTTTCCTCAAATAAAATGCATAACAATATTACAGCTTTCACTGATTTATTTCAAATTTGAAACATTATCTAGCCTGTAAGGTAAAAAAACAAAACAATAAAACAATTAATTGAATCGAATCATGGCATATTCTTGAGTATCGAAAATAATCGAATCGTTCAGTCAGGAAATTGATACTGAATCGCCATGATGGGTGTGATTTAAACCCCTATAAGTTAGCATGAACAAATTCATCTTGTGGTGAATTTTACTTTGATATATGTAAGGAAATCGTCTTCTTCTTGTGACTACACCTTTGGATGCAAAGAGTTTGCTACCTTATGAATTTAATGCACCATAAATCATTAGTTTTCATTAACCCCTTGACACATTTATGTGTTTTATTGTCTTGAAGTAGTTGCCAAATGTAGACTGGGACATTGCAAATGTGTAAAAAAGTTATAACAGTCAGTAATAACTTTGTTATTTGTCTTACCAGAAACAATGAGTTATATTGGCTGTTTGCAGAAAACAAAAGTTTTGTTGTCATGGGGTTAAAAGTCTTGTACAGTAACTATGTACGTAGTTTGGGCTAATAATGCTCAAAAAGACAGCAATGGGTCCTTTAGCAATGACCTGCCAGAAGCTAAGTTAGAGATACCAACTTATTTTAAATTTCCTAATAAGTAGATGCTGAGTAATATGAGGCATTATGATGTTTCATGTGTGTCAGTGTTTGTCAATGTTGCTCACTGCAACATAGCGGCCAAATGCACATATGTTGCAGTTAATTAGCCCTGACTCCAGCTGTGCCACTGAGAATTCCCGTCTCTCGGCGAGCTGAGTCGCTGACAGATGAAGCGCAGTCTGCTCCTGAACGTCAGACACCACCTCTGTCCCCCCCGCCACCTCGATCTGCATCTCTCTACATCTGCTTTGAATTAGCTGGTTACCATGCAGGAAAAAACAATTCTTTTGTAGCCTTTTCCAGCCAATCAGGAAGTGAATTGGGGGGTAGTTTCCTGTTTCCTGTGTTCCCCCCAGACGCTACGGACTCAGGTCCAGTAGTCCTGATCAGTTTCCGACATTCGTTTGTTCCTCCTGGGAAGCCGAGTATTCATCACCTGGCAGGCTGTAAGAACTAGCACTCTTTCTCAGAGTAGATGGCGGGGTTTAAGCTCTGAGTCATCTGCCAACCGAAGCATCACGCCAAAAAGACAAGGCTGTGATGAAAACAATGTGATGCGGGCGTTTCATAGACATTATAGGGAGCAGAGCACTGCAGGGATCAAGAGCATGTCTGCTGCTTGGTAACAGCATAATGTAAACTCTGCTGTCGTCAGTGAACAACATTATGAGGAACTCCAACTAAGGCTTTGAAAGTTATGACAACATAACGGTTTCTTATTAACATCAGTAACGAATGCAGACTCACAGGTGCTTTTCATCTGGTAACATGGTAGGTGAAAGAAACTTCCTAATGGACAAATTTCAGAAAAATAGTAAAAATAGTAAAGATTAAAGGTCCACTTAAGGTGCTAATGACAAACTTATATTTTAATAAGGCAAAGTGTTGTACAGGTATTATGGGTAGTAGATTTTACCATCAGATTATAGAAAGCAAGTGCCAGCATGAGATGTTCTCAGTATGAGAAACATTGGTAAAAATATCAGTTGTATTGTATCGCATTATAAAGTGCAGACTTTAGGGATACATTTATTTTTATCATTTTTTTTTTTTTTTATAACAACTGGTCTTGTACATTGTTAACTGTACTTTCAAATGTGTAATGCACATTTAGTTTCCAAATATGTCGTATTCAACAGGTGGAGTCTATGATTCGCTTGACTTGTTCCAACATTGCAAGGACTTTTAGTCAAAGGAAAATAAATATCTAAAATGTTTGTTATTTTGTAATAAAGCTTTTAAAACACCAATATACCTTGATACTGCCTACCTGCCCGTTTACAAGCGATATCAACAATTAAACATTAATGTAAAGTAATAAGCTCCTGCTGTCAATACGCTGCTGAAGACGACTGATTTTAAGGGAAGTGCAGAAGTGAAAACTCCCAAAACTTCTGGTTTAAACCAGGAAGTCTTCCATATCCTTCGGAAATTAGAACTTGGATTTGGAAATCACAGCAAAACTGACTGAACAACACAGCAGACCTAATCGGGTAAGGAGTGCTATTGAGTACTATCAGCAAACGTTCAAACACTTTAACATGTTTACTAAAGGAGGTGATGTAGTGTGACGCTGCATCTGTTCAGGATTGATGAACATAAAAATCCTCACAAGTTTAAAAAACAAAAAGTTAAAATACATTTTACTGCAGCCATTACTATATTTTGAAGCAAGATATGCAAAACATTTTGAATTTGGGTTGTTAGGAAACCTCTGATAATGGATGTTGATTTGTAGTCTGATTGTTTATGCCACAAATATGGAACTTTAGACTTAATAATAAAACCAAGTCTGTAATTAAACTCTATCTACTGTGAATTAATTCTTTTTTATTTTTCTAAAACATAAGTAATAATGTAATACCCAGTCCTTGTAAATGAATGTATGCTTCCTTTAAAAGCAAGAACTTAATTTGTAAGTGAAAACTGAGATTTTGACGACAAATCAGCCGCTGATATAACACATTGTTTAAGCAGTAAGCAGATGAGATTTATTCATTTTATTTAGTTTAAAAGAGGTATATTTGTTAATTAAATTAAGGATTTTTCCTGCTGTGCCTTGGCACCTCAATCTGAAAAGATGAGCTGTGGGGTACAGATGGACAAATCTCCCATTCATCGCAAGCGCATCCATGAACCTTACGGAGACAAACAATGGTGCATGCAGACACACCTCCACTTAAGATGAAATGATATTCACTTTAACTTAACGTGCACAAATTTGCAGCGGAAAACCTGAATACTTGGAGAAAAAAATCAATGCACCCATGCAGATGAAAACATGCAAACTCAGCACTAAAGGGCCTGAACATCCAGGACCAGAGCAGAGGGTGCCTTGAGACAGACACTGCTAATCAGCAATCCCTAAATGTTGTCTTTTTCATATTTTTTACTGCAGTAAATGACTTTAGACAATAAACGAGGGACACAAAAAGCTGCGGATTAGGTTACTGTCAATCAGACAATTGTTCTCCACATACCTGTTACATCACAAAATAATCCAGCACAGCAATCTAGTAGGTAAATGACTCTATAAAATAATAGTCGCAAAGCACCTTTTTATTTTAGACCTGAAAACAGGGTATCAAAGCACAAATTATCCTGAACTGTTCAGTTTTTCTTTACAGGAAAACCAAGCAGCAGCAAATTCAAAAAAGAAAATCATAGTTTCCTTATTATTAAAGCTATTTCAGAACAAAACAACATAAATCTGCTCATCGGGCAGGTAATAAAAAAACATTAGCTTCACACACACATTAAAAAGAGGCTGAATGCATTGTTCAGTGCCCAGTGATGCCTGGCAGTGCAGTGCAGCCTCACAGCTTGCAAGAGTGTTTGTTGTCTTTTTTCTTTGGAGCCCATCCCGTCTGTTGCATGTTTGGACTCCAAACTGGACAGGATGGACTGGGTGCCAGATATCAGTCAGTCCCATACTGACCTAGGATGACCTTTACAGCAAGAATGACATGCTTCTAACAGAATGACATTCAAAAGGAAATGATATGAGAAAGTTATCTGTAATTGTTTTCAGATAAATGGTTGTACAAACTAAGACTGTGGCTCTGATCACTGAGTCCTTGTTAATTTATAATTATTAACCTTTATTAGACACTGTGCAAAAGTGGAATGCTGCATTCTTTAGGATGATTTGATCACTTTATGCAAAGCGCAAACACAGCTGCATTCAAAAAAACTGATCTCTGATATCATGCTCTATAACAACTCACTGTTACATACACAAACATGCAACGCATGCCTGTTCCCAAAATAAAGATCCTGGTTGGAAAGCAGGGTTAACAATCAGAGAGTCCTGCATGCATTTGGATGGAGCAGAGAAAAACACTGGCGTGCAATTAAAAAGAAAGGCTGCTTGTAATTAAGGGGTAACAACGATATCTGTGGCCCCTAAAATGTGCAGGAATAAAAGCATCTGGAAACACGCAGCTGTGGAGCCTTTATGTCTGTTCCAGTCTGTTCACATAGGTTCAAGTTTAACACATTATCTGGATCCAAACGCCAGGTGCCAAATTCCCACATTCTCCCCCCTCCATGCTTTGGGATCATGCAGTTTCTGTCCGTTTACTTTCTCCTTTTTTTTCTTCTTTTATCCTTATTTGCTGTCTTACTTTTAGTGCAAAGAGGGTCCAATGTGTGCTGAATTACAATAGCAGGCAGAACCCCTCCTATCTGGACCCGTCCTGTCTCCAGCCCTCATCTTCCCTGTCCTCTCTATAAACAAGGATCCATCGATCCAGGCGCTCAGAATGGGGGGTAGGGATCTTTTTTGGTTTTATTCTTCTTACCTATTTTTATTTTGACGCTCTGAAAGACCCGAAGACCTTCTTCTTCCACCGCCATAGCTTCACTGTAGATCTGTAGAGCTTAAATGAAGGCTATATTCCCCCACAGCCGTGCTTTCTGGCCTCTCCAGCTCTCGGTTATTCCAGAGGCTTTGCGCATCTATGTTCTCCGGGCAGCGATCATTCTCCGGTCCGAACGCAGCTCCTGCTGTCGCTGAAGATCCAGTGAGCGGATTGAGCTCCAGCGCCGCTGCAGCAGCAGCAGCGGTGGTGCAGAAACAGGAGGGGGAGGGGCCCCATACAAAACCGCCCACAGACGGATATGGGGGGTGATCCGTGCCCGGCAGGGGCTGGAAAGGAGGAAAGGCAAGTTATCCCAGAAGAGCAGGGAAAGGCAGGATGTCATCAACTGGTTTAATACATATGAACTAGATTACGCTGGGATTAAGTGATGAGAAATGCAGTTCTTCTGGATGCACTGTTTCACTATATACAATGATTCTCTCAAAAGATTCATTAACTGAATCATTTAGTTCATGCAAACACAGGTTGGGTTTTAAACTTACCGTAAACTTGCAATAAGTATTTTTTCAGTCATGTTTACAGAAATATTTTCTGGACTTTCACTGCATTTTCTGTTTTTCTTGACATCTAAACTAAGCAATAAGCATGAAATTAGTGGCATTACATGTTCTTTTAACAGCTTTTA